AGGCATCGTCAGATTGACAGTACTCTAGCCCAATAATGTTGGGGGATCCAGTGGGGGCGGCAGTCATATTTCAGGGTGACCGTGCCACTCTTTATCACAACCCTGCTAAAAGTGCCAGTACGTGCACTCATTGGACCGCCTAGCTCGCCTATGCCTAGAAACGGCCCTGGCTATAATAATAGCGACACTGAGGAACGATATTGTTGGGATCACTTTTAGAACAGTTTTTTTTTCCAGATGATGAACAATAATAAAACATTGACAGCCAATCAGAATCCACTCTGAATCTGCATTTAAAGCATCAGGAAAAACTGCTGCGCACAATTATAATAAACTGAACGTTATTGTCTATTGGTGTGGATAATAGTTTTTATTTAGTTAGTCTTTATCCACCTTATTTTTCCCGTAAGAGTGTGAGCGGCCATTTGTAAATTTGATGTGTCTGGCTTCATGTCTCATCCGCTTCCAGTTATTTTTAGCTGTACAAAACAGCTCGTTTTGCTGCTTGATATTACAAACTGGTGTGTCTTACCTTATTATTTTAATGTATTATCTTAATTCTGAACACACTGGTTTGTAGTGCATAAAATTTTACCGTTTACTGCACGTTGTTATTCTTCTCGTTATTTCCCTACGCTATTTTTAGCTCTACAAAACAGCTGGTTTTGCAAACTGGTGTTTCTTGCCATATTATTTTAATGCCATGTCTTAATTATGAACACACTGGTTTGTAGTGCAAACAGTTTTACAGTATACTGCAGTTTGTTATTCTTCTTGTTATTTCCCTTCAGCAGCTAATGAACCAGAAGTCTCGCACATTCACAGAAAACGGCTTACTTCCGCGTTGAAAAATAAGGAGGATAGTTATTGTTCTTGGTGTGAACAGGCCTTTAGGCTTTATTTCATTTGCGCAAACTTAAATATGGCGTCGACCCTTACTAAAGTCCATTGCGTATTTCTTTAAACTAACAAACATAAGTATTTCTTCACAGCGAAATGGAGGACTCTTTGGCAACCACATCAACCATATAAATGGTGATCCCCGGAGAAGCTCCGGCCACCAGACAAATGCCACACAGCGCCCCCTGCAGGTGCAGCCGCCCCCACATTACGCCCACATGAAACAGCCCGTGGGGCGCCTGGGTCGCGCCAATGCCATGGCGCAGCAAAACCATCATCGCCACCACCACCACCATCATCACCATCATCATCATCACAACTCCTACAACAAGTCGCCCAAGTCTACCAACATCAACCTCAACAACGCCAACGTGTCCAGTCTACCCAATGGAGGACACAATTGTTACTATGAGCATATGCCCGCTAACGGTTACCCGGGATCATACTATGGAGAATACGACAAGCCCAGTACCACACACGGGCAAAGGTGAATGCTTTTTTTGTTCATCCAACATCTTGCTCTTACTATTTTGAAATATTTATTTCAATTTATTCAATGATTTGACAATGCTAGCAGATTACGGTGTAATCTCATGAATGTCCCCGACTTCTTAAACCAATTCCTTCATTCCATTTGATTGATTGGAATTGCTTTAGGAAGGATGTTTTTCAAGGTCTAAGCAACTTCTTAAAGGGATAGTTCACCCAAAAATGAAAATTTTATGTTTATCTGCTTACCCCCAGGGCATCCAAGATGTAGGTGACTTTGTTTCTTCAGTAGAACACAAATTATGATTTTTAACTCCAGCCGTTGCAGTCTATCAGTCGTATAATGCATGACAATGGTAACAAAATCTATGAGAGTAAAAAAAACATGCACAGACAAATCCAAATTAAACCCTGCGGCTCGTGACGACACATTGATGTCCTAAGACACGAAACGATCGGTTTGTGCCAGAAACCGAACAGTATTTATATCATATTTTACCTCTAATACACCACTATGTCCAACTGCTTTGAGTGCGCACACGGCATCCGGTGAGTGAGGTGTGTACGTGCTCTGGCGTAGTTTACGTTAATGGGTGTGTTGATATCCAGCCGAAGAGCAATCAACCATAACTTCAGGCGAGCAGGCTCAGAAGTTGGGAATACGTGGAAAGTCACCACTCCCGAATGAGTTCGCGCGAGAGAACGTAATCTTTTAGTTTTAAGTCGGTTTGAACAATCCGGATAAGCGCAAGTAAGTACCATTTTGATTAGCCCGTCGTACCTACAATGACTGTGCACTGTGTAAACCATGAGTGACGTATACGCGTGAGAGATCACTTCCGGCGCTTGCGTAAACTACGCCAGAGCGCGTACACACCTCACGCACCGCTTGATGCCGTGCATGCGCCCAAAGACAGTTGGACATAGTGGTGTATTAGAGGTAAAAAATGATATAAATACTGTTCGGTTTCTGGCACAAACCGATCGTTTCGTGTCTTAGGACATCAATGTGTCGTCATGACCGCAGGGTTTAATTTGGATTTGTCTGTGCATGTTTTTTTTTACTCTCATAGATTTTGTTACCATTGCCATGCATTATACGACTGATAGACTGCAACGGTTAAAGTAAAAAATCATCATATGTGTTCTACTGAAGAAACAGTCACCTACATCTTGGATGCCCTGGGGGTAAGCAGATAAACATCAAATTTTCATTTTTGGGTGAACTATCCCTTTAAGTATCTGCCTTCTTCAGTAGATTGGTGAAGAAAGTGACCTTTTTAAACTCTGGATTAATTTACACTTATGCACATTTAGATGATTATTCATCAGCATTATCATCAGCTTTAAGGTGCGGTCACATTTACCATTGTTTGGCGAATTTTCACAGGCGAAATCCAGACATTTCAGTTGGAATAGGTGTGATTTCCCCATGCAATTTTCTCAAAGAATATATGTTGGTCCCGCAAATTCACAACAGAAATTAATTTTACTGTGATTCCTGTGTGAACTGGGCTTCATGCATTGCTAAACTATTGACAATAGACACCTGATCTTTTTTGCCCTCAAAATTTGGCCGAAATGTTGCTAATGTGACCGTACCTTTAGATCATTAGATTTAAATTATTTTCCTTTTTGGCATTTATCCACCTTTGAATCAAACCACCTGGCCTCTGTCCCACACACTGTCCTCCTCTCACCTACTCTGGTTCATTATCTGACCTTGGTGATACCATGTTTTCTTCAAGGTGTTTTCACAAACCCGATCTCATGAGAAAACATAACTATTTTATGAGGTGCCGACTCCGTTTGAATTTATACACAGTGTTTTGTATGGAAATGTATGATTTTTAGAAAAAATGTAGTATGAAGGTTTACGCCTAACCCTACTCCTAAAGCTAACCGTCAATGGGGTTTAAGCAGATTGTACAACAGTGTACGAATGAGATCGTGCAAATTAATACGAATTAGCCACTAATTCGCCAAAGTGTAAAATAGTTACAAATTTCCATGAGAGCGAGTTGCTTTACGCATTTGGTGCAGACCCGAGTCTATTTGACATGTTCAGGACGTTTTAACGAGATAAACAAGTAATATTGCCCACCTTGAAATTGGTCACCAAGATACAGCCTTACCTCCTGTCTCATCACTTAAATGAGGCCATTTCTGGGTGAAGGATTTCAAAAACATTGACAAGATTAATGAGGCTTGATATGGTCATCTGAGCCAAATTTAGCTAAGATTATACATTAAACATTTGTGTGATTCGCAAAGACGTTTGCCTTGTCAGATTGACCCAAGGAGTCAGAGAGGAAACAGAATTATGTTTTTCAACCAGTTGGTTCATTTATAAGCAAAAGAGAGTCAAACTTTGGACTTATGGTGACACAAGTTTTGATGGAAGACTGACTCACTATGAATCACATTTATATTCAGAGCCTCCATGGTCAGTTTTTACCAACTTAAAAAACTGAAGCCAAACTTTCCATGTTTTTGGGGCTTATCAAACCACTTGAGTAAAAATACATGTGAGGGGCAGAGGATGCAGTGTTTTTCAACTCGGCTTTGGACAAAGCAATCAAACCAAGTGTGAAAACAGCCTCACATATATAAAAATGCTGTATATATCATGTATATACTGTATGATATATGTGTCCATCCATTCCCTTACCCTATTCCCTTGCTTTTCTCCACCTTTCTCTCTTTCCTTCCTAACCGAAATGCTTTCTCTTAACCATCTCTCTGCTTTCTGGAACAGAAGGCGCTACTATGAGACGTATATTAGGTATGTTACATTAGGTATTATATGTTCATATAGCAGGTACTAATGCTTGTAGAGAAACAGATGGTGAATGATAAGCAGAACTGTGTTCGGTGGGTAAAAGCGTCGGGATTTCCACCTCAGCCCTGTCCCATATGGTGCTTTAAGTTAACTTAACATGTCTGCAAAGGCCTGCGAGTGCTATTTGGAACAGGGCCTTATACACACACACCCAGAGATTGACTACAAAACTGGAAAGAGTTGATAGGAACATCTAGTAAAGCATTAACAAATCAGGATGCGTCTTTGAGTCTCTGTGTGTTGTGATTGGGTGATGAAGGGAAAGAGGAGGGGCTTGCTGCATGCAACTTTTTTCTCAGTATAACATTGAACAGACTATTTCTTTCACAGCTTCATTTTTGTTTGTCAGTTAAATGTAAAGTATTTACTCTAACGTCTATGCTTTACAGTCACTAAAGAAATCTAGACTCAATGCAAGGAAATCTTCAACTAGAATATCTTTAAGCTGAGATTTCTTAAGACTGTACAGCTATTAAGTAAAGACTATATGCAGAAGCTACAAAGGCTATGACACTGCTGACAGCTGTCTTGATAAGATTTTGCTTGTTTTCTAATGAGGTCTAACCACGTCGCTGCACTCTGGAGCTGTACGTCTGCATGGTAGTGCATGGTAGTGCATGGTTATTCGCTGACGTTCTGACCACAATCTAACGGCTTCTCACTGACCACTTGACCTTCATGCAGGTCGCAGGGCAGTGACAGAAGACGACCCACTATTCGTCGCGAAGAGGAGTATGAAGAAGATCGTTACACTGGAGAGTACTACAGTGGAGAGGAGTTTTACGAAGATGACAGCATGCTGGCGGGTGACAGGTAAAACTATTGTAGCCCATTTCAAGTAAATCAGATTTACAGAAATTCATGCAAGGTTAATTACTGTATCACACTTCCTTGTGCAGGTACCCCAACAGTGACCAGGAATACGAGACACCACAGGGTTACCATCATCCTGACAGCTGCTATGAGGATGACGAGCAGCCCCTTTATCACGATTCACATAGGTCACCAAAGAGAAGACTGCTTCCTCCAACACCGCAAGGCAAGTCTTGGGGTTCCTTTCTTTAAATGTAGAAACAGGCCCTCTGATTTATGGTTTAGTTTTGTTAAGATATTAATTGCTCTCGTTTACAGGTAATCGGAGACCGTCGTTTAATTTTGAGTGTCTGCGCAGACAGAGCAGTCAAGATGATCTTCCTCACCAGCGTACTGCTCTTCCATTACATCTCATGCAACACCAGGTAATTTATTTTAAATATAACATTAAAACCGAGAAAAGGACGAGCCCGTCTCGGATCCCTCCGCTAAATCCACCCGCGATCCCCACGACAACAGTCGTGGGGATCGGCAACAGCGGGACCGCTGCCAGTGGGATCGCGAGACTGGCCGCTCTCATCAAACACAGCCAGGCGAGAGCGGAGCGTGAGCAGCGAGAGTAACTCGCAGTGATGACAATCAGCTCCTCGAAAGCTGACCGTGCATGCTCCGCTCCCAAACAAACGA